TTGGTTTAAGGGTTTAATTCTGAATTAAAATGTCGAAAGACTGAGGAGGGTGGTATTATATTTAGATGGTCTCTACGCAAGGCAATCGGGGGTAACTGAAAGACAACACTGAGAAAGTTCCACGGCCTAAAATATCTGCTCACACAGCTACCAGCAGGACTGAAGTGCCAGGTGCAAGGAGCGATACGGCGCATATGCCCAGATTCATGTTTGGCTGTTTAAGACTTTACACAGTTGGAGAAGAGGACAGTGATTCTGAAACCTTAAAAAACAGTTCGTGTAAAATTGCACAAAAAGACATTCATTGATAGCGTGAGTGCCTTTCTGTGCGTAATTACGCACGGCGGCAAAAGCGTGCCCCGGGCTGCTCAGAGCCTCCTGACCCAAACCTTACCTTCCTCTGCTGCTTCTCCCAGGCAGGATCCAGCAGCAGGTCCCTGTCCCAGTCATCCTCTTGGGTCATGTACTGGTGGTGTTCTTCATGTTGGATCGTGTAGGAGTTGCTGTATGTCATTTGGGTTTCGACAGCTGTCATCGTGCCGCCTCTGTCAGGACTCTCACGTCCCCCTCAGCTTATAGTAAGAAAAATAAATCAGCAATTGAAACGACGACGACGCCGTGAGGGCAAGAACCTCCTTGAGACAGGGGTCTCGCGTGCAGGGGGAGAGATAGAAAGGGGCTGCAGAGACCAGACTCCACTGGTGCGAGGTTCCTGTGCGGAGGTGGTGCTCCCACTACCAGAAAACCCTGTTGGCCCGGTGCTCCTTTCCTGGTCAAAAGTGTCACACGTGACCGCACCCCAATAAGTATGGGAACCGACAGCTTGGGTATCAGGTTCTGACCCTAAAAAGGTGTAAAAGGCGGGGTAGTGTGCCGCAGGGCAGGGTTAACTGGCCTGTGAATGGGTGAGAGACATGTCAATTACGCCCCCTCGCATCAGAGAGGTTTTTATGGCTTGTGCCATGCACCTGTTGCTGTTAGTGAATCTCAGTGGCAAACCCAGTCCTCAGTGGATTCATGTCCCCTCTACAAGAAAACATCAACTAAGGACTGAATCTTACTATCTTAAAGTAAAGTAAAGATTTCAGAGTTTTGGTTTGTTTACAGCTCTCTTGTACTCTCTAAGCCTGTCAAAGTACTGTTATGATTGACGTCACCTCAAACTATCTTACTGCTAAAACAATGCTGCAGGTTCATAGTTTAACTGTTTATTTTTACACTACAGGCTATCATCTGTCAGAATTTTAACATTTTATTTATATTCTTCATAGTTTTTTCGCTTCATGAAAATGGGAGTAAAATGAACGAGACAGAGGCACTTTTATGTGGAAACAAAATGTATTTATTCATGATTTGCATGCAGACTGAAAAAAATGCATTGCAATATAAGAAATACATATTTAAAGGCATATATATGCATACATAACTGTACAGTATATAAGGTGTGTTAAATATCAGGATTTGTCATTCACAGTTACATGTTGATGGAAAGAGTTCATCGAACATTCATCGACTTAATTCCACAAAACACCCCATCCCACTTTGACTTTGTGCTGGAACAGATTTCCTTGAAAGGCAGATTGCTATCCTCTTGAGGTGACACATCATTATGTCACCTCCTGATGATGTATCTTTGGAAACTAGAATGAGTTATATTGTAATTAATCAGGCATTTAAATGTAATTACACTACGCTTGGTCCATTAACCTACTTGAAGAAGCTTAGCTACTGTGCGACTGTGTGTGGTTATCATTAGGTACATTACTGTGCTACTACTGAGCTGAGGGAATTGGATGGGTTGACCACTGTAAACATTATATAACTGTGTGTGTTTCAACCTCGCATTCATAGGGATTGGACAAAATTACATAATAAAGCTTGCAATTTAATGCAACCAATACTCTGCCACATGCTGCATCCAGCTATTGTATCTATACTTACTCTTCACAATTTAAAAGGTAGCTTTGTGATAAATTCTGGGTTATCATTCTAAACTCCATTTCACCATATTCACACAACAGTATATTTCCTTCATGCCCAGGATGGTAGGTTCAAATGTGTTTTTAATTCATCAGGGTGTGATTGGCATAGAGGATAAAACACACACACCACAGAGGTACTAACAAGTAGAATGACTTCTGAAATGTTTAAATGGATTAAATAGTATGCCTACAAGTTAGGTTCATTTAAAACGTGTTCTGTTCTTCACCTGCATTCTGATCAATTTTAACGTACCAATTTGTGCATTTTCTTCCTATTATTCAATTAAGATCTTGTCTTGTATCCACTTGTGTGTCTTTTACATCCTCTGAATACTTTTACAAACACGTGGACTTAGAAACTTCTGCACTATTTAGAATTTCAAAATGGTGCAGTTTAATACATGACGCCTATGTATAGTTCATATGCAGTTTTGTATGACTACTTGATTCACTTAAGTTGGGTTTAAAGATTTGCAAGTCTAGCAAACAGTATGAAGTTTAAACATAAGGCTTGGAATATCTGGATATTCTAAATAAAACCTGGAGGAATCACAGCTGATTCATACTGCTGAGTTCCAGGTTTAAGAAGTGTTGAAATGTAGTGAAATCCGACAGATTATCATTTCATTCCTGCCTGATTTATTAGCAATTTAAGGAACAACGGATGGTGAAAATCTGCAAAGATATGAGGCAAGTGACGACAACAAATGTTGCATCACTGTTTGGTAAGATCATGACTGGAAAGGCATTCACTTCCTTGCTAACTTTTACCTTTACATATGAATACCTAACAAGACCACAGGTAGTGATAACATCCAGTGATTCCTTGATAATTCCTTAGATGCTAGCAGCAAAGTCACAATGGCTGACATTAGCATTCAGCCAAATCTTAGCTAATACTTATCGTATCATTTAACACTATCGAGCAGCATTGTTAGCTGGGAAGTGCTCGAATGCTAATTTTGTTTTCTAACCGTTGGCAAAGGTTTCTTATGGTGTTTAACCTTGACATCCCTGCCAGATGTCCACTATCCATCGATTTGCAACCTCGAACACTTCCATAAGGATAATAACAGCATTTGAGCTCCTCACCTTGAGCACAAAGTCAGAGGCTGTGTGAACATGGTGACTTCTATTCTTCATATATTGAGTACAACCCCTGCAGATGACGTAATGGCTGAAATATGACTCTACAGCTATTGTCTCTGTAACAAAAGAAAGTTTGAGTCAAGTGTTACGTAGCCTGCCCTACGTTATATCACTTCTGTGCTAAAGAGCTAGAAAAGTCATGGTCACGTGTGTTACTAAATCTCATCTTGCAAACTCAAAAAAAAGGCAATAATGGTCTCTTGGTTGTGGTCAAAACCGACTGTGTAGTCAACTGATACCTGCTGCAGGAGAACAGATGGACCCTGTTGGATCCCATCACAAGAACAATGCAAGAGAAGTGTAGCATCTGGGTTACTGTTTCTCAACCGGCCAAACCACAGAAGGCAAGGGGGGTTGGAGGGTGGGGGGGGGGGAGTAGGTGAGGAAGTGGAAGTAGGGGAAGAGGCTGCAGCGAGCTTCGGCTGTCAGAATAGTGTGATTGTGATTCCAGAGCAAGGGGTTGGAGGGTTTAGAGATGCATGGCTGCTTTCACCCCAGCACAGAAAGCCCAGGCTCGCAAGCAATCGAAGAAGCCTTAAGTGAGGACTTGGTGGGGGGGGGGGGGAGGCTGGAGGAGAGAAATTGGGGGCACATTGAACTGATGATGGAGGCCAGGGAGGGAGTTTGCAATTTGATATACCATTCTAGAGCTGCATTATCTGGGGGGAAAATTGGCTTGTGTTTGCCTTCCTTTTATCTTTGGAATATCAATCCAGCGGTTCTTTATTTAAATGGACTAAGATTATGTGTATCCAAGGTATTACTGCGGAGAGTCAACGCTCCATTGTCAGGATACACTTTTCACAAGATTACCAAGCAGCTTTGTACAAAAGGATCTTCCACTACAAACTCACCTTGTCACCAACTCATCTACTCTTTCACTCGTCTTCCCTTCCCTTTGTTTGTGAGGGTCAGAAGGCACTGCACTCTCTGTCTTGACTCCATCTCGCAGCTGTCAGACAACTCGTTTTTTGAAAAAAAAAAAAAAAACCAACAGAAGCCCCCTGAACATGGGATTGTGTTGTTGTGCGCGAGGGGTTAAGCTCTGTATCTGAGCACATTGACAAATTGAACAAGGTAAGAAACACATACACATCACTCAGAGCACATATCCAGCCAGCTGATCCCTGTTTTCAGAGAACTAGAGCTTGCCGTACCAGAAAAGTCCTATAGGAACCCTGAGATTGATGAAGATCTACAGGTCAGACTGGCCTCATACCTCGGCCTATCTTATAGGACGTTTCTGATTGGCACACAAGCCGCGAGGGACCCCAAAAGGTAAGAAAAGTGTTTGAGGCTGATTTATGACTTAGGATGGAGGACATTTGTTTTTTTGTTTGTTTGAATACCTTCAACAGCCATGCAGAACAAAACCCAGCATTCAAGAGTTCTAGCAAAGCGACTCATCCAACAGGGAAGTCTTTCTGTGTCAAGTTACTGAGTCCGGTTTTACACTGTCCATTTGCACACCCCAGGCCTCTACGGTAACAAAAAAGGAGGGAGCGGAGGTTGGGTGGGTGGGGTGGGGGGGAGTCAGGTGGGGTGGTTCTGGGTAGTTGAGTCCGAGCCAGAGCCACAAAACCCAGATCCAAGGTGGCAACGGCGGTGGCGGCGGGAGAAAGCGCTGGGTGTGGTGTGAACGGCGGAGAGTAGAGGCGCATGGGGACAGTAGAATGGGGGGAGGGGGGGGGGTGAGAAGGAGGTGAGGAAGGAAGGAAGGGAAGGGAAGGGAGAGTAGGGGGGGGGGGGGGGCGGCGAATACGGCGGTGGAAAAGGTGTTGACTCAAGGCAAGGGGAGAGGAAGGGTTGGTCCGCATGTGCCAAGCTTTAACCAATCCATGAAATACCACCCAAAAAATACTTCTGACATCACATGCTCTCTGTCTTTCAAACACACACTCACACACTTTCTTTTATTCACTTGCTCACGACACCAGCAGGACAGAAAGGACACAGTCGGTCACCTCGGATGCTGATGCGAGACAGGACTCAAGTCTTGTGGAAAGGAGTCCTGACAGCACTCCCCCCCCCCCCCCTCCCACGGATGGCACTGCCATTGCAGCAGAGGAGTTACGGATTGTGGAAAGAAAGGGGAGGTGGTGATGGCGGAGGAGAGGAGGGGGGGGGGGAGGTGTTTTGTCAAGGCACAGTCAAAGGAGGGTGCGGCAGGGGAGGGTAGGAGGGGAGGGGGAGAGGAGAGGTCAGTGCTTTTTTTTTGTTTTTTCATTTTTTTCATTTACCTTGGTGGTGAAGAGAAAGAGAACAAGTTCCGGGGTCTGTGGAGGCGTTGCGCTAAAAGTCCTTCTCCATGGCTCACGCCGCCACGCTCACGCACGGCTGCACACACTGGCCATTCCAAGGTGGCACGGTGACCTAATTCAGTTGAGATAGTTAGTTCAGAGCTGGACTGTCGCGGGGACTGTTTTTTTTTTTTTTTGAGCGGCAAAGTAACAAAGATTATCACACATGCAAGGTTTTTTTTTTTTTTTTTGAGAGTAGAGTGGACACAGACACACGGAGAGAGGGGAGAATTTGGTGCAGCAGGGGAGAGAGACCAGACCAGACCAAGACGCACACCCATCAAACCCCCGCCCCCCCCCCAGGAACAGGACTGGCTCCACAGATCAAAATGCACCCAGGCCATTCTATCTGTGTGCCTCTCCCCAGCTCTCAATGTTTGTTTCACAGTGTGGAGAACATCCAGTACACTCTAACATGAAATTTAAAGACCTTTTCCAATGCCAGAATGAAAATACTGATTTGGTGAAGTGCATACCTTCCATAAATTTAGGGGTTTGCACCTTAAGTTTGAGAGGCTGGAGAGAGATAGGAGCACCAACCCACACTTACCCTGACCAAAGAGAGCAAAGCTGGGCCAGCATCTACACCTGTGTCCCCCCTGGCTCCCCAGTCAAAAGGGTCTGGTGGTCGATTTTACACAAGAGAAACAAGAGAAACATAAACAAGAAGGGGGAAAAAAACCCTTGCTTTCTTTTGCCACACTAGTCAGCCAAACATTCTTTATTATAATAATGATTATAGAATACATATTCTCAATAAAAAGCATGCTGATTTTTTTTTTTTTACGTTTCTTTTTTTTTTTTTGTCTTTTTACTAAAAAAAAAGGCAAAATTAAAATACTCGTCTAAAAAATACGGTCTCAAACATGGCAAACAAGACATTTTCGCAAACCACAGAATTCTACAAAGGATGCAACTGGCATGTGTCTGTATATATACAACACAGAAAGATTACACTGTGAGATGCAAAAAGTCACTTAACCACTAAAAAAAACCACACAGGGAGAGGGGGCAGGGGGGGGGGGGGGGGACAGCGAGGCAGTAAGGTGATGACTGTGTGTGCATCAGACTGCTGTCAAAAAGTAGTGGCAGAAAAATCCAAGTGTTTTTGTTTCAAAATGATTGTAGGAGCGAGTGGGTGGTGTTCAAGTCCGCAGGTACCTGTACCCGCGAGCAAGCCCCGCCTACTTTATCCAATAACTGGATTAAAACGACACTTGTACATTTTTGCGTTAACAGTCCGAAGCGAGTCTGGTTTTTATTTGGAAAAAAAGTAGGAAAGTTGGGACAGACTGGAAGACACAGCGCCATCCCTCACTTCATTGGTGCTATCACTGTCGTTTCCTGCTTCAAACCAGCGGCTGATTTACGAACCCCCCCCCCCCCCCCCCCTCGAGGCGGCTCAAGTTTGTGGCTTTTTTTTTTCTTTTCAAAACACAACGATATGAAAAAAATATCTAAAAAGTGTGCAAGTCCACGAGAAAGCTTTTACTGCTTGTGGCCCTCTGGATGCTGAGCTCCATTGAGCCACCATAACCCCCCCCTCCCCGCCCCCCCAAACGCCCATTTGAAATTATGAAAAAGTCAAAAGCACTTTAAAAAAAGAGGAGACCGCTCCACTTAATGCACTTCACTCAAAGCTTATAGGCACATAGTTTAAGCTCGTCACATATCATGATTCCCTAGGACTCAGTGTAAAGATCATTTGTAAACAGCTCAGTCAGTAGTCACACGAGGGTTTTCTTTTGTTTTAAATATAACTCTTTACACCCCAGGGTCGACTGGTAAAACATGAAGACTACATTAAAAAACAAACAAAAACAAATACGTTTAAAACAAGGCCTCTGAACATGTAGGAGGACTTACTACAGAATATCTACAAAAAAGTCTGAGTCTGCCCTCCCCCTTTTAATGGTCCACCTTGTACCTTCAACAAGGTATGAAATGGAGTAGACTATACACTGAAATTAACTGTCAAGAGGTAGGCAGCTGTAGTGAGGAAAGAGAGATGAAGCTGTGTCTTCCAGTGTTTGAAGTTAAAAGTACAAGGGGAGGGGGGAGATGGGATTCAAAGAGAGATCCAAAAAATACAATACAGTACGTATTATGTGTGCTTTAAGTTTTTCTCTCTCTCTCTCTCTCTCTCTCTCGCTCGCTCAGCAAGGCGCAGTCTAAGCTGTTGCGTTTTTGTGCGCTGCAAGGTCAGAAAGCCCGCACATACAGTATCTCTCTTTTACACTTCACACATCCACGTCACACGCTCCAAGACAAACACCCCCCCCCCACCAAAAAAACAACAACAACACAGTCCTTGGTTCTGTTTAAGACAAAGCAATGCAGCCAGTACACAATATGTGTTAAAACTCAACCCCCCCCCAATCTGATTACATTACAATTTGAAAAAGTATTCAACATAAGGCAAAAAAGGTTTGAAATTAGCTGCCCTTTACTGATCATCTAGGCCCAAAAGAAGATGGTTATAATAGGTTTAAAAAAAAGAAAACAGTGTCTTTGATTGTAGATTTGGCCGTAGAAAAATCATAACTGGGTTGTGGGGAATAAAGGCATATGAAACGACTGACTGGGTCGGTCTAATACTGGCACAAGTGTGAGACTGGCACGATTAAAAAAAAACAAAAAAAAACTGAGATGCACAAAGAATGCCCTTTCAACAGATGAGAAACTCCCTTTCATGGCTGCACTGTGCGTGTGAAAAAACAGGACCAAGGTGAGCTGATCAAGTTCCTCAAAAAGGCAGGTTAATAAACTGAGAAGCCCACCCCACACACACACTCACACACACACCACACACACACATATAGCTGCTGTAAGGTGATCAAGTTTGGGGGGGTGGAAGAGGAGATGTGGGGGGTGGTTTTGGGGGTTCAGGTCAGAGAGGAAGAGGTGGGGGGGTGGGTGGGGGCAGAAAAGTTGTGTGCAACTATCGGAAGGGGGCTCAGGCGTGTGAAGGGAGAGTTCGGGGCGGCGGAGGATGGCCTCCTTGCGCGTGGGCGGCGGCAACGGCGGCTCATACACCCTGGGCGCAGCCATGGCGGCAGCCATTGCCGCAGCGGTGGGGACCACTGGCCTGAGGGCGTCCAGCGTGGCCACTTGCTGGGCGGACATCGTGGGGACGGCGGGGACGGCCGACATCCCCGGCATGCCGGCGATGGCCGTGACCGCGCCGGGCGGTGGGTAGGCGTACTGGAACTGGGGATACTGCTGCAGCTGCTGGTAGTACTCTGCGTAGTACCTGAGAGAAGGGGAGGAAGGGGATTACAAGGGGGGATGGGAGAGGAACGTTAAAGTAGGAGGAAGGACTTGAACTTTGCTACACGGCGGGGGGGGATAAGAGCGAGGAAGCGCGCTGGAAGCACGGGGGGAAAAAAGGGGGTGCTCGTAAATGCAAAACTAAACTTTCTCATGGAAATGAATAAGCAGCCGAGTAGATGATTGGTCGAGAGAATCAGAGATCACTTCTTACCTCGCCATGGGGTCCTCCGCCGCCTCGGCTGCCTCTTCCGCCGCCCGTCCGGCTGGAGTGGGGAGCAGGGGTCGCCGCGGCTTGGCTCTCTGGTACATGAACGGTTTCATCACAGGGTCCGGCAGCAGAGGCACCGACCTCCGCAGGGGGCTACGGTCCCTCTCACCAGACTTGGCCGCCGCCGCAGCCGCCGCCGCCTGCTGCTCGGCGACCACCTGCTGGCCCTGGGCAAAGTAATGCGCCTGCCTGGCCGCCTCGAAGATGGCCGTGGTGGGGTCCGCCGCTCCCATGGCACTTATGTGAGCGTAGGCCGGCGTTGCAGCGCCGTAAAGCGCCGGCGATACCGTGTAGGCCGGGTTGACCGCGGCCGCTGCTGTTTGCATATCTAATCCGGGGGCAGCGGTCAGGTAGACCTGGTTGCCCATCGTTTGGGTGTAAACCGGAGTGGAGTAGGCGGCAGCCGCAGCGGCCGCAGCAGCCGCGGCCGCATTATTCGCGGAAATCTGGCCGTAGATATTAGGAGTCATCTGGCCGTACATTTGGGTGGCGCCTGATGTGAGAGCTGCCTGATTGGCCACCGATCCGTAAAGCTGATTGGCAACGTTGGCACCGTACACCTGGCTGGCAAGGGCGCCATAGACCGCTGGATTGACGGGGTTTCCATCGGTTCGCGTGCCCGTGGTGATCCCGGTGAGAGCAGCGTACGTGGGGTCGAAGGTGGAGGTGTTGTAGACTGAATTGTGCACGCTCTGCTGGACCTGGAGGGGCAGGCCCGCAGCCGCAGCGGCCGCAGCCGCGAGCACCGCCGCCTGACTCTGATACTGCTCGAGAGACGGCTTCCCTACGGGACATTCTCCGGCATAGTGGCCCTGCTTCCCACAGTTAACGCAGGGGATTTTCCCTGTCGGCGCCTGTTTGCTGGGCTGGACCTTGGACAGCTCGACTGAGAGGGGCCGTCCCTTAAAGGAGGTGCCGTGCAGGGCCTCGATGGCCTGGAGCGCGTCTTCCTTGTTTTCCATGTGGACAAAGGCATAGCCTGCAGAAGAGGAATGCCTGGCTGTCATTGAGCGCAGGGACAACAGTTAGGATCACAGTGGCATTGCCACAGGAACTTACTTATTACTTCTATGAGAACGATGAATTCTGCCAAATGGGAGATTGCCTTGTCCACATTTACGACAAGCTGGATTTTTGTTGTTTTTGTAACAATTTGACCATCACATGCACTTAAATTCTCTTTGTTACAAAAGGGGGAAATATTGTTAGTTACAGATAAAGTGATCCCTGATTTTATTCTGCTAGTTTCATATTTCTAAGAGTGTTTTGCACGACTCAAAAGAGAGGCGACGGGGAGCATCTAAAAAAAAAAAGAATTTTTCACGGGGTTCTTCGCTCACCTTTCACTTTGTCACACTCAAGAACCTTCCCGAACGTCTGGAACAGCTGCTGCAGGTCCTCAGTGGTGCACATCCCACTCAGGTTACCTACAAACACCTTGGTGGAGTGCAGCGGCCTCCCCCTCGACTCCTCCACCACCAGGTTCCGGCCCCGAAACTCCCGCCCGTTGAGCTCGCGGATGGCTCGCTCGGCCGCGCCCTCGCCCTGCAGGTGGACGAAGGCGAACTGGCGCAGCACGCTGCAGCTGACCACCTGGCCGTAGGGCTCGAAGATGGCCGACAGCTCCTCCTGGGTGGTGTCCAGCGCCAGGTTGCCCACGAAGAGCTTCACTGTGTTGCTCTTGTCCATGGCGGCGCTGCAGGAGAGGAGACAAGAGGAGGGGGGGGGGGGGGGGGTGAGCTTCACTGTGTTTCAGAGACAAGCGAGGGTTACAGATGTCACAACGACCAAGCAGACATGAAGCCACACCTTCGCCCTGTCGCGGTCGCATGAGCAGGAAGTACAACGCTAGTGCAACGGTCTGAACACAGGGGCGGACTGACTGCAGCACTGAGAGACATAGCTGACCCAGCAATTTAGTTTCTTCTCAGGGCCTGACAACATCTGTGAGGGAAGGGGGTGGCTTCAGACTTCTCAAAAAAAAAAACATACACAAGACAGGAAGAGCTTGATTTGCCATCCAGAGATAATAAAAAAAAAAAAGATATAAGAGGCAAGAAAGCTTTCCCTGAAATTTAAAAACGAGCTACTGTGATTCAGAGGGAAGTTTAATAAAGATCTGTGAGTGTGTGTGTGTGTGTGTGTGTGTGACTGAGCCAGATTAGCAGTCAAATATCACAATTTAAAAAAACAAACACACAAACCCTCACATTTGCATGACGCACTGAGACGAGGTTACACAGAGCAGGCTTCCCCTACAGAGATTTAAAAACACAGCGTGTCCGCAATGGACGTCGAAAACGTCTTTCAACCTGAACGCCGAAGAAGCAGAACACTGAAGGAGATCTTTAAAGGATGTTATTCTCACCGGGGTCGAGGCTGTGATTACTTCATGAGTCACACACTCAGAAGTACAGAAGAGGAGACAGCTACAGAGGCAGGGGGGGGGGGGAGCCTTTTGAAACCTCTACACTTTGCTGGGAACACTGGGTATTAATTAACAGATATGGTGATAAGACCTTTGAGTCCTTTTGTTGTCTGGGCTAAAAGCTTCTAGACCTACAGGTGAGAATGAGCTTCTCTAACTGGTTGGCCAACACCTTCCTCCCCCCCAATACTGAACAACATGTACGGAGGGGCTGTAAATCAAAGGGCCAAGAGGAACATGACACCAGGCATTTCTATTTTTTGGTTTCGGCTCCAGCCAGCTGCTTGCTTACAGATCCACACCTTTTTTCCTTCCTGCTGTTCCTGCTGCTTATAGAGGAGACCGTTAAAAAAAAAAAAAGAGAGATGCAGGTTTCTCATATGGCTGCTGCATGAACAGTAGGTTCGTTTAAGGCATATCCAGGGGAGGGGGGGGAAGAGAAGCTGCTTTTTTTTTTCTTTTCTGATGACGCAGCACGGGGCTGAGTCAACACATTTTCACTGCTCGGGTCATTTTTTTTTTTTTTTTTTTTTTTTAAAAAGGTGGACAAAATAAAAAATCAAAAAAAATCTCGATTTAAGTTGTGTGTAGACAAAGTCAGAACAAGCTTTAACACACCACACGTCCCCGAGATCGCTGTGGAGAAAGAAGAAAATTGTGAATGGACCAGAATGGATGCTTGGTCGGTTTCGCTCTCTGGTAATGGATTCAGGTCACAAGGCGAACACAGAGCGCGGATTAACAAAATAAAAGCACCCATTCAACAGACATGTGATTATAAACACATCGTAAGCAGAGGGGGACAACAACTGGATCTCGATACAGTGTAACAAGCAAGACAATCACATTTCTCCGCACAGGAATGGATACAGTGTTAACACACCCGAGTGGGCTGCCGTACGACAACACGGTGTCCTTAAGTCTTTTTGTCGCAGCAACATGCGGGGTCGCAAAAAAAACACTCAACAAGACGAAGCCGGTTTCTTTAATTACCTCCCAATGCGGCTCGGATGACAAGAAACGTGCAGTGAAACAAGATTAAATAAAAAGGATCTACCATCTTACCTAGGCGGTGCTGTGTTTCAAAATGGTAGCGCCTGCTTCCGTTTGCATGACGGGCATACTGAGGCTGCAGAGGGAGGGGAGGGGGAGGGGGGAGAGAGAGAGAGAGGAGGGCTGCTGTTGCTGCTGCTGCTGGAGGATGCTGAATCCTCACAAAAACAAAAAAAAAAGACCCAAAAGCACACACAGAGCCAGTGTCAGAGCCTGTTTACTGTTTAATTGATTAAAGACCAGTGGAAGTGTTCGAGGCTATACCTCAAAGGTGCAGAGTTCTGCTCCAAAGAGACAGAAAAACACTTCAAGATGATTATGTGTTGTGGAAAAAGGAGACATGTTTTGCTTATATCACAGAGAAAGGATCTATAGCAGAATTAATGCTTGATATAAGCTTTGTACATTCAGTCAGATTTATACATCTAAAAAAAAAAAGAAAACTAGGACAGATCATCAGAAAAAAAAAAGTCTAGTATGTTGCAACACTGAACAATCATGGTTCCAGCTTTGAGTACATTAAATCATGTTTGGATTAAGAAAAAAAGACATTCAAATGTATTACTTTGGGCTGTAGGCAAGAGAAGTGATTTTACAGAATTTAAGGACTTAATAATGAACAAAAAAAAGAATGAATCCCGTCTCACAGCATCCAAGCTGCATTCACAGCGCTTAAATCATCAATTTATTACTTCTTAGATAAAGAAAAAAATATTGAATGCAACCCACTGAGGGAAATAAGGATTTTTTTTTTTTAAATATATTTTGTAGATTAAAAAAGTGATAAGAAAACATCAACATCTGAAATCATCAAATAAGCAAACCTTAGCTGCAGCTCTCCATCTAAGTTGGGTCCACATCTTTTTTTATTGACTTAATTAAGTATACTTTTTGGGTTACAGGCACACTAATTGCTTCAGGCACCACTCCACTACCAAAGGGAGATAAGCTGGTCCACTGTTTTTTTTTTTTTAGTTTTTTTTAGTTATTTGTCCCTACTAAAGCGCACCTTGAATTACCCAACATCCCCCTGACAACATCCATTTATACTTTCAGGATTTGACAGAAAAAAAAAGGATGTGGCAAAGTGTCTCTATTTCTAGCAATAAAAGAAAAATGTAAGTGAAAATAAAACAATCCTTGCTTGCAGCTTCACGGCTGCTTTAAATCTTTTCTTTTGGATTTCACTCAGAGAAATTCAGGATTTTTGTCCAAACGAAATAATGAAATTAAAAATAATGAAATGAAGAATCCTTAAGTCAGACATGCATTGAAGCTGCGTTCACACAACCTACAAACACAAATGCAAAAGCACACGTCCGGAACAATTCGGGGGGAAATCCAATAAGCGTGTTGGGGCGTGACCGGGACAAGACAGACGCTCAATTAGTGCAAAAATCAATGTGAATCCTGCTGCACACTCATCTGGTCAGGAAGGTGCACACACACACACACACACACACACACACACACTGCCCACATATCGACAAAAATACACATTAACAGAAATCAACAAGTGCTTGTAGGGGAGTTCTTACACATTGATCAGCATGTGAACAGGAGAAAACAATAAAGACTGAAGAGCAGAGCGGACACATTCACGTTCTCTGCATTGTACGGCTCGAAAGTTGGGTGCAGCCATCATGAAGGAAGTGAACACTCAGAGCCCATGTTGGATATAAACAGCTGAGCATACATTACTCATTACTTAAAGACACCCCCCCCCCCCCCCTCCTTCATGTCTCTCACTCGAGTCACTCACACCACCTCATGGATTGTCAATGAACACACCAGTGCAGGAAGTTTTTTTTTTTTTTCAGTCATAATTCAACTCACAGTGCTCCTCCAGAAGAACATCAAACCTTTTGGTCAAGTAAACATACATAGAGCAACTTTAAATACATGACACTACGGGGGGGATTTTATGGGGGACTCGTGGCTGCACACTGGAACTGGAATTTTTCAAGTAAGCTGCAATAAATCCAACCTGGAGAGGCTGAAACTCTGAGTCTATATCCTTTATGTTGTCTGTGTTTTTAGACATTTCTGTCCCTATTCAATCACAAACCTCATATTGACTGAAGAGACTGAAGTTAAGACCTACCACAGCTGAAAGGCTACCAGCCTTTAGGACAATATGATGAATAATCAGTATGACATTATTTATTCTGTTTGTTCACTTTCCTCTCTAAACACAACATGTTTGAGGTTAACTTCTTCCTGACTCACTGGAAGGAATCTCTTGAGTTTCTACTGTGATCATAGGAGCAGAGTGTGAGCCGTGTTACCTTTCTTTACTACTACTTTTGGCTTGCATAATTGATTAGACACTTTGAGAGCAAACTGAAGTGCATTTATCGCAGCCGCCGCGGCCAAAACAGATCCCTCAAATGTTACAAGCTCATCTTATTAGAAAGCAATGAGGCAGCAGTGTCAGAGGTGACTGAAATACAAAATACATAACCGTCTGAACAGACAGCTGGCTAATCGGAGGGGACTTCTTTTAAAAGTCTCTGGCTGTTTTAATCTCTTTTAGTGCTTTGAAAAATCCTCAGACAACATGATGTGGGTCCTGCAACAAGATTTGATTTGACCACAAAGAACATTTATGAGAAGATAAGGCCATTTTTGTCTTCGGTGGGGAGAGTTTCTCAGTTGCTCCTCTGCATTTCTCTTCAAAAGGGTCCACAGGTATATGCTCGGTGTTTGTGCCGGAGGTTCAGAGGTTGGCCGCAGGCGTCTCTGCACTGTTCTTGCTCCGACCTTTCCCGGCAATCGGCCGATCTCTCTCCTCCCACAGCGTGACGCCGTCGCAGGCGCAGATCTGTTTGGGGTTTTGGAAGAGAGCTGCTGATCGGGCGATGATCCCACAGGCCAGTCTGCAGAGACAAGACGACAGTAGAGTCAAAACATGTCTTCTTAATGAACAATAAAAACATTTTCACACATGCACAAAACTCCTGGAAATTCCCCCAATTTATTTTTAAGTGAGCTGCATGTGTGAACGAAAACAGCTGGATTTTTCACACCGACTTTATTCAGAATATTTCCTGCCAGCCCTCCAACAGAAATTCAGCAAGAGGTCGAGTTGAGCCGATGTGTGAACAAGGCAGGTAACGTTCAGGAAAATCCCCCAAACAAACGTCACACCGTAAGGGGCATGATGTGGCATTTCAGGGAAAGGCTGTCCTGAAATTTTCATAAGTGCGGAAATGTGTGGAAAAAACAACTTCAAAACTGGCCAGAGCTGCAGAAGTTACTCACATACTGAGTCTCATCACTTCCTTTTGACCCACCTTTCCCCGGAGTTTCCAGTCCGTCTGGAGAGAGGGTGACCGCCTCGACCCAGGTCGTCCTCCCCGGCATCTACAACCAGCGATCGGCCAATCACGTCCCACACCTGAAAGAGCGAGCACCAAGGTGTCAATAGCGAGGTTTTAAACATGTTACATATATGATCTGAGTTCTGTATTACCTTCAGCTGACTGTCCTCTAGTCTGAAGGAGGCTCTGCCATCTGGGCCAGCAACAATGTTTCCCAGATCGCCTACATGCTACAGACAAAAAAAAAAAACACAGTGAACAAATGACAACAAAACACACACGCACAATTATAATTGAATATGTAGTTCCGGCTCCTTTGGGACACATTTTGCAAACTGGCCGATCGAGTTTTTTTTTTTTACAGATTTTTCAAGAATGTACCCTTTCACAGTCCTCTGGGCCACCGTGTTGTTTTCCAAAGGGGTTATAGTGCTCTCCACAGCTGCACAAGGACAACCAAAAGGGGAATCTCAATCAATATCAAACTTGTGTACAATATCCAGAATTAGTTGCATTCACCACCTCGTCGCTGTTTGGCGTTTCCTACCTGAGGCAGTCCTGCGTGAGGTCTCCCAGTGCGTGGACATGAAGGCCGTGGGGTCCGGGCTCCAACCCGTCGATCGTCCCGTCGATCAAACAGCGCTCCTCGGACAGCTGCAGGAAACGCACGACGCCCACGGCGCTCCCCACACCAGCCAGCATGGCCACCGCTGACCCCAGGTCTGTTATCAAATGCACAAACACAAGAGATGCTGAACTATTCCATACACGCTCATAGCTGCGCACTCATCCTGACGTCGAGACGCTGAAGTCATTTTTAAAGACGTAAGAACGCATTACAAACGGGTCTCCTGTGATCTGTGATCTGTGAGAGTAGAGGCTTAAAATCCTTGTGTGACACGTTTCAGAGTGGAGAGTCATCCATGACCGGCTGTGTTTGAGAGGTTTTCTCTGCTACACTGTATGGAAATGATCCATCCACAGTACACCATACACGTTGGTGTATTTGAATGTTTCTAGCCCAATGGATTAAAGGCCTTTTAGATTTTTCCTGGATTACTCATACCATGACATCTACTTTGTATTTTACATATAAAGTTCTCCAATAATCAGAGCATATTGATAATAAACACCATGTATAATGTTTGGTTATAAAAAAAGGTTATTGGTGCTGCTGAGGTTTGATTGCACAGCGCTCCTCCTCCTCCCCTCTCCTCGGGTGTCTCACCTCGCTCCGATCCTCCGATACCTTTCAGCACGGCTCGGCGCCCCGTGCTCTCGATCAGAGCCTGAACCTCGGCGCTGGTCAGAGCCGATTCCACCAACACCTCCTCCTTACCGACGTCGATGGTGACCGACTGCACTCCTGCCAATGACAATGATCACATCATATATATATATAAACACAGACGGAACAAGCTGCTTCCATCATCTCACAACCAAAGGTCATCAGAGGAAAGGGAAACAGTTTATAATAACATTTATGTAACAAGTTGTTTCTAACTATTTCTAACTAAAATATTGAAATCATTTTTTCAATCCGCATTCAAATCCTACATTCTTCTTTTATTCTTGTTTACTTTGGGAACTATGACTCTGTAAAAGTGCAGCTGTAGTGTAAGCTTGTGTTAGTGTTTCCACATGTGATCATGTTCAAATTGACCTTCTCTGCATGCACTTTAAGTCTCTTCGCTTACACTAGTTTAGTATTTTAAGCAATTAATATGAAATGACAGACGTGTACAAGCTTTCCCACGTCACCTGTTCTGTATTTATTTCAATGTAAAGTCACTTTTGATGCCATATGAAACGTGTTGCCTTTGCTGTACTCGGGTAAGTCTGCTCAGGCATGCGTGAAGAAAAGCCAGACAAACTCATGACAGACATGTGACCGAGTGAAAAGCATGACATTAAACCAGCAGTAACAGATGACAGCAGGAGTACTAGTCAGTGTTTAATCAAGTGTTTCATTAAATGTGTTTACTTCACAGTCCTGGTAAACCTTTTGGGTGTTTACCTACCTGGTCTACCCTCCAGGGCAGCTCGGATTTTCTCCGCACAGCTCTCACATGTCATCTGCACCGCAAACTCCAGCTGCACAGAACACACACACACACACACATGTAAACACCTGTTGCTCTACCTGCAGACACCACAGGTAAACACGTTTGTACAATGCAGCACAGCATGTTTGCATGGTATGTAACTGCGTAACGACGTCACACTGAAGTACACGTTATCTGCCGAGACAGACGCAGCAGCTTTATCTCAACAGCAGCACAAATAAGGCACGTTTTTGTTCTGAAAAAAATCTCAAAACAGGTCAAATAAAGCCATGAAAAGAAACCGGAAGTGCATTTTAAAATGTGATCATTTTTTTTAAATGTCAAACCTTCGTGGGTCTCTGTGAGTCCATTGTGTTCGCGTACGCTGCTGCCTGGGCGACGAAAACGGAATTAAATAGACAACTACCCACTTTCCTAGACACGGAAACGAACCAGCTGCATCTGCTCATGGGCGCCGCCATGTTTGTGAGGTCACAGTGAGGGCTTTCACGCACGTTACCGCCGCCAGATGGCGACCACCTGCCACTGCAATTTTCTATCTGGTCCTATGGAGATGATAAAAATGCTTTTCTCATGTCTGCGTTTTTAATTTAATAAAATAAAACGAAGCAGAAATATTATACATTTATTTAATTTTATTGTTTTATTGTATTATTTTATTTATTTATTTATTTATTTATTTATTCATTTATTTATTCATTTATTTATTCAGTTATTTAATTTTATTTAATGTAATTAATTAATTAAATTAATTATATTTTGTTTTATTTTATTTTATTTTATTTTATTTTATTTTATTTTATTTTATTTTATTTTATTTTAATTTATTTTATTTTTTATTTTTTATTTTATTTTATAGTGTATAGCGACTTGGGTTGGTGACCTATGGGTTCAAGTCCAGGACCAAATCTGGAAATTTGTAGTCCCTCGTAAAAAAAAAAAAAACATTATAAAGTGCAATATATTTACAAATATATCATACAAAAAAGCAAAACTCTCCTACAAACATAGGAGGGTAAAAGTACAATATTTGCCTTTGAGGAAAGTTGAAATAGAATAATTAAGTTGCAAAAAAAAAGCAGAAATATTCCAGCAAAAGTACCTTGAGTTTGGTCCTTGAATATATTTCAGCTTAAAAAAAGAAGATTTATTCACTTTCCTAACTTTAGATGGACGTTAAATATGTTTAAAATGAAAATTCACACTGAAAAACATGAACACATTCGGCTGATGTAGAAGTAACAGCATTAGCCAGGTGATATCTTACGTGTCATAACACATCACAATACTATATTATATTGTTCAAGTGAATATGAAACCATTGATAGTAAAAGGAAGACACATGGTGAATGTGGTCAGTTGAGTTAGAAATATATGAAAATCAGATGTTTTGCATCAACTCAGTCTGAGGCAACATTTGACAGAAGCTGCAAACTGCAAAGAAATGCACAATTCTTCAGTCAATGAATCTGATTGGTTTCAAAATAGTAGAAATTTGGGTCAGGGGTATTCAGGGAGGAGGTTTTTTTTGCTCTCTTTTTTTAACCAGGACCTGAGTTTGTTCCCTTTCCTGTTACAACATGTTCTGGCATGAGCATAATGGAATCCTTGAATGTTAGATAGTTACAGAGCAGAAGCAGCATGGGATGGTTGTGTGTATCAGGGTCACTCTTGTGAGTGTGTAGCTAAACAAAGGAGGCTGTAATGATGATTGCTTCCTCCAATTCGATTTCATAATGTGTATAGATTATTGCTGCAAAGTCGACCTGTGGATTAAAGCGTTTCGGTATGGATGAGACCTCCACTAAGCTGCGTGTTGGCTATACATCCTTATTATAGCATCTCTCATGATAAGCCACAGGAGGTAGCAGACGGCCGTGATGTAGCGATAAATCTGGGTCGCAAAAGTCTAAAATAAAGAGCTCCGTGAGTCCAATCTCTTGGAACTAAATTTGGGATGTTAAGTGGCCTACAGAAGGAGGCACATTTCTCACCGCCGTGCACATGCTCCGATCCAGAAACAGAGCCGTCATTACGTCCAAACAACACCGAGGGGACAATGTTTTACAGGGAAGAAAGCAGAGCGGCAGAACACAGCTCCTTCTGTTTCTCCCGGCTCATTGGCTTTGACCTTAGACCCCTGTGCTGGGTAATACGACCACAGGCTTTAAGAGGGGCTGAGCCAGTGTGCACCAGGCTTCAAAACACACAAGTTCAGCCTTTTGTGTGTGTTTCTTCAAGAGTGTGTGTGTCTTTTTTTTTCTCTTCCCCTCTCTCTCTCTCCGTCTCTGCCACAGCGGTGTTTAATTTATTGGGTACATGGGAAACTGTCTCAAACCTTTGCCCTCGCGTTGATCCGCGGCGCTGAGCTCGGCGTTCAAAGGAGAGGAGGAGGGTGACACCTGAGCCCACACACTACACACACATTCTCACACACACACACACACACACACACACACACACACATATATATAGGCACAGAAAAACACCACAGAGCCAGAATGCAGAAAGAAACCGAATCATTTTAATGTGAAAAACTGAACAACTGGAAGGAGCAACTTGGGGGAGAAAGAAGAGAAGTTAACAAAGAGGAGTGTGTTCGTGTGTGTGTGTGTGTGTGTGTGTGTGTGTGTGTGTGTGTGTGTGTACTGACAGACAGTGTGGACAGCCCCTCGTGGAACAGTATAAGGTTTTATCTGTACTAAATGCCCTCCTCCCTCCTCCCTCCTCCCCACCTCTTCAACATAAAGCACTGACCAGGAGTCTGAGGTAGTTTCACATTGTAAAACTCACAGCTCTCGCTTCATTGACCAAAGAGATCAAACCTTTATTTTTAGACCCTCTGAAACAATCAATTTGAATTACAAAAGAAAGCAAAAGACGGCCACAGAAGGTGCAAAGTTAATCAAAAGAGGTTCTGGTCGAATAGCCAAGGAGCTGAAAGACGGAAAAAGAAATAGCTTCCCATACCTGTCTCAGTTTTTAATAGGACTGAATGTCATTTGTAGGATGTCAGGCCTTTAATGGGGCGACAAAAAAAATGCAGTTTTCTGGTAAATCTAACCCTCCACCAGCCGAATCCTTTCTGCGCATGTCTTGGTTATATAATACATGAATATAAATACGGACGTCAGTGTCAAGAGTTTTGGCTTCAATTTTGTACAAGGAAAGGAGATGGAGCATGTTGTCCATTCTTAAATACATGATAATGATAAGAGCTCATAGGATGCCTCTTGTTCAATCAAATGACTTCATTGTTTACTTTGTCAAGATATACACGAGTATTTGATCTGTGAAAACAGGAAAAACAACAAAGATTCAATGTTTGATTTCAAGTCGGACTATATCCCCAAAAAAGTCCAAAGATTTAAAAATGACATTTGACAAAAGTTTCTTGTCTTGAACCCGGCTGAATGCAGAACGGGCGGTCAAACAGGTAACATGTTTAGGATGCACCTCAACCCCACGCATGCAAACTTTGAATTAACCTGTCCGCGCCTCGCTTTTTCAAAAACGTCCCCAACCTCATGACACTGAATTATTCAGCTCCATGGGGGGGGGGGGACCCCCACAGAGGTCAAAGTAATGTCACAGCCCGGCCAAGCACTCTCCATGTCCGCTGATTGCACCCTGACAGCTCAAATGGAAGATGAAGCCAAGCGTGTCGGGGTTACGGCGTCTGTAGCGGTGGATGAAGGAGCCCCCCCCCCCCCCCCCCCCTCCCTCACCCCCCCACTCCAACCCTCCTCCCTCGAACAGGGGAGCAAAATGAAAAGACTTTCTCCTGGTTTAACTTTAAACTCCAGAGGACAAATAAGTCACTTTCATGTTTTGGAAAAGATGCACGTTTACTTTGATTTTTTTTTTTTTTTTTTTTAACATGACAGTTGTTAAGGAATTTTTTTAATCCACAAAAAACCTAAATAAGTTTGGTACGAGGTTACGATGTTGCTTACAATCCAAGCTAATCAAAATACATATCTAAAGATAAAGAAAATGATGCAGACTAAAGACAAATATATGCAATGTCTGTGACTAATGTAAATATAGTGCAGGATATAAAGAAACAATGGTCAAGCCATTAATGTTTGCCTGTTTGCTTAAACATTGCGTCAGTAATAAGAGTAGGGAGGAGGTGCAGATCTTTGCACTGATATACTGGTTTACTTTGCAAAGATCTTATTTTTTTTAGAGACGTTGACAGCAAGACAAAGACAAAGACAAATCTTCACTTTTTCCAGTTGAATCAAAATTCATTAACACTTTAAAAAAAGCAGGAAAAGAAACAAAGAAGGCGATCAATAGGGAAACAGCCTCTAAAGCAAATTCTGTCTATTCAGCGCTGCGGTGTCGTGCATTATTGCTGACCCACAAACAGGACTGAAAACTATTAATTATAATGCCAGCAATGTGTTTTAAACTCCACAACTCATCACCGAGAGGATCAATATGTAAGGAAGAGAACGCGCTGCCAAATCAAAGTTTACTGTTCCATCCTGGATTAATGAAACAGAGGCGGTACAAGAGTCATGTCGTTAACTCAAAGACGCTTTGACAAAAAAAATCAAAAACAAAACAAACAAAAAAAAAGAACAACGAGGACAGACATCAGCTCACTCGGATTTTCTGCGGATAAAATAATGCGGCTGTTTGCGTTCAACATGGCCTAAAGAACTTCCGGGTAGCCAAATCTCCGGAGTTTTTCAGGAGATTTCCGTGTGTGTGAAAAGGGTTACAGTCTGCTGTCAAGCCCCACTTCAAATTCAAATGAACTTTATTTGCATGATTCTTTTAAAGTAAACACAATTAAAACTGAGGAGACAGGTCGCAAACAATAAAGCACGTGAGCAGCAGGTCCATCACCATCAGAAAACATATACTGCATACTAAAGGAGTTCACCTGAGTCATTAAATGTGGCATTTTAAGGTAAGATCCGGGTATGGATGCCCCAATGCTCGTGGAGATGCTCGTGTGTACCGCCTTGTTCTGCTTGTGGTTTGTGCCTGTTAGAAGTTAAGTCGCTGCTGGTACCAAGTGTTCGCTGTGTGAAATGTAATTCGTCACAAGATAACTTTTGTTGGATTTTTGAACCTTAACAAATAAAAAAAAAATGGTCGGATTGACAAGTCGGTACGGTGTCGACCTGTCAAGAGATGTTACATTGTGTTGGTAAATTGTCACTTCTGGTTCCAGAGAAAAAACGAGATGGTCACAGCCAAAAAAAAACTGAAGAAATCTCAAGGCTTCAAGCAGGGAGGTGAGAAACACCTGGGTGATCCCACGAAGCCTTTACCAACTTCTTTTAAACCGCCTTTGGATTGATGTTACCGGATTTCATAGTGGTAGAGTTAAAAAAAAAAATCTGTGGTCGATAACCTTCTAGCGTGGTGGTGTTGAGCCTTCACCAAATCCATCCTTAAGAATTGCGTTCTCTCAATTGGTTTGATATTTGAGATTTGTTTGAGGTTATCTCAGGCCGACAGAAACGCCTGATGACGACAAACTGATTTTCACTGCTTTAAAAAAAACAAAACAGAATAAACTTATAAGTGAAGCAGCAACTGTAGGTAACACAAATAACATTGTCCTTTAGGGAAAGGGTGAGAATAATGAATAATGAAGAGATGCAGCCCCCCCCCTCCAACACACACACACACACACCCTCCCCCATCTTCCACCCACAACACCCCTGTAATCTCTAAATGCAGCCCTGCCTCTGCATTTATGTATCAAGCCGTTTTCATACATGCACTCCGGACAATCTCTCGATATTTACAAAGGTCCGCTCCTGTGTGTGAAAAGGGTTACAGTCTGCTGTCAAGCCCCACTTCAAATTCAAATTACAACTTTATTCGCATGATTCTTTTAAAGTAAACACAATTGAAACTGAGGGACAGGTCGCAAACAATAAAGCACGTGAGCAGCAGGTCCATCACCATCAGAACAACATATACTGCATACTAAAGGAGTTCACCTGAGTCATTAAATGTGGCATTTTAAGGTAAGATCCGGGTATGGATGCCCCAATGCTCGTGGAGATGCTCGTGTGTACCATGCGTAGCCAGCACGCGTCCACAGCATCATCACAGGCACAGACGCGCGCGCATTGGCTACAGCGACAGAGAGAGAGAGAGAGAGAGAGAGAGAGAGAGAGAGAGAGAGAGAGCGAGAGGGGGGCAACCGTCTCCCGGTTTTATAGCACGAGGAGTCGCGAGGATCCTCTGACGACAGACAGACAGCAGATCTGCCGCCTCGCCGCCTGCGACACCTGAACGCATCACACACACAACAGAACAGAAGGAGAGGCAGATTTAGCTGGAGGAAGAGGACCGGAGGCTTTCCTTTAAAAAAAATATATATATCAAGAAGAAGAAGAAGAAGAAGAAGAAGAGGAGGAGGAGGAGGGGACAGCGAGGGAGAGGCAGCCGGCTGGCCGGGACCACAGAGCTCCTAACCGGAGGAGAAATCATCACCGCCTCGTCACATCACAGCTCGGGGATGACAAAGGTGGGTGACGGACCGGTGTGCGCCTATTGTGTGATATCCTACATGGCGCCTTTAATGCTCATAGTAGAGAAGAAGATATGACTGGGGTGGGTTTTGGAAAGGGAAACGAGGTCGGTGTGACACTTAGAGAAGCGTGTGTCCCCCCCCCCCTCTCCGTGTGATAACGGGGACTATGAAGCACAGACAGCCCCAAACACAGATAACAGATAAGGCGGATTTTATTGATAAATAAGGGGACTTTGTGTTTAGGAGGAAGTAGAAGTGTGTTGATGGCGGGGCGGAGTGATTTCATCCAGCACGACCCCCCCCACCCCCAAAATAAAAAAAATAAAAAAATAATCGAATCTAATCCGGCCCCACATTTGGATGTTGCGAGACCTTTTAAGGAGGTTTTTGTTGTTGTTGTTGTTTATGTCCCGTGACAGACCTCATATGTGTGTGTGAGAGAGGGATGAGAGAAGAGACAGAGAGAGAGAGAGAGAGAGAGAGAGGGGGGGGGGGGGGGGGGGGTGTTTATCGTCTCCTTGAGCGCCCGAGGCTTGTCGGGATGATTGATTCCTCCAGTGTTCAGGCAGATTATGAGAGTGAACACCTCCATGCCAAACCAAATTAATTAAACTGCACGCAAAAAAAAAAAAAAGAAGATTAACCTCGCGAGATTAATCAATGTGGACCCCGTCGTGTAGTGCAGCCTACAACTGTTGGATAAAAAATTGTGGATGGAGAGGGACGCAGGTTTGATTCCTCTCCTATTAGCCGATTTGACTTACTGTAGGTGTTGGGTCCAAGTTGGATGGAAGTTTTTTCCCCATCTGATCCTGCTTCATGTCACAGGAGCAGCTAAGTATTCAGTCAGTGCGTCATGCAGGTTTGTTTTTATTGGACCATTTGTTTGTAATTAAAAGAGCTTTAAAAGTAATGAGATAAACACAGTGACAGTGACAGCTTACTGATTGGACAGTTATCGTTGATGTTTGATCGACTGGATCAGGTTGATTTATGGGGTGAGAAAAATGAAGCATGTGTCTTTACACACTTTAGGTTGAGGAGAAACTCCCATCCAAAGATCGTCCCAAGGCAGCAAAAAAAAGGAGAGACAGAATGCGTCCTTCTTTCAGCGCAGACACACCATGAAGAAATATGTCAAAACTGGATTATAGTGAACGAATGTAAGGAGTTGGCTCCCTCCGTATTCCACGTCCAATAAGTTATCAAAAGTGATTCTGAGGCCGTAAACGTTCTCGCTGTGACTCAAGTCAAGAGACACATGGATTGTTATTTGGTGCTGGGCGACAAAACTTTGCAGGAAAAGGTGACAAAGCACGCAGCGCGCTGACCGGTTTCACATGATCACAACAACGCTTATTTTATTTTTGAAGACTTGAGCATGTTTGGCTGGAGCCATGCCTGAAGACATAAGTAACTCTAAAGCATTTCCCTGCTCGTCACCTCTTCCTCGTCCATTTTTTGCTCTGAAGCTGCAACTCTCCTCTCCTTTCTATCCGTCTGTCTCGTCCCCTTGTGTGTGTGTTTTGTGTGTTGTGTGTGTGTGTGTCCCTGTCCTCCTCCTCTTGTGTCTTCAGCATGTAGGTTAGCAGAAAGGGGAGGGGACGCGACACAGACCTGAAAAAGTTGGATTTTTTCCGCTGGCATGTCCACAAGACCGAGTGATGAATGTTTGCTCTGTGTGGGGAATAGCAAAGCACGGAATAACAATAGAGGTGAAGGAGGGGATCCGTTGATACAGGCTCTCACACACAGACGAACACAATGCCTCTTGAAAAAGTCAGTATGATAAAGTACGTTGTGCTGACTAAGATTCACTGCATCGTTGTGTTACAGCTCATCACCAGAGTCTTTTTGGACGCAGGGTGCCCTTTAAAGACCGGCGCTCTGGGGAAAAAGGGTTTATTTATACAATCTGAGACTATGATACACAGCTCAGTGGCTGCTGGCTGTACAGTGCTGCTGAAGATGTTAGATTTCAGGCTGTGAGCCAAAAAAGCAGAACTGTTTACTCCTTCCAAGGAAGCAAAATTACTCAGTTCAGAACTTCCTCCGTTTGTCCAGGGCTCAAGTGGGCTCTCTGCAGATGTTGCTTTCAAACTGATTTCTTCCAGAGACCAGTGTGGTTAATGCCTAAGTACCCTTTAGCAACAGATTATGACTCCTAAATGTATAAATATGGGCTGGCTTCTTCAAATCTAGACAATAAGCTCGCTAAGAAAAACTAAGGTTGCTTCTTAGATGTTTTTTTTTTTTTTTTAACATAAATTGCTAAATTGTTATGAAGCCCTAAGTGCCGTCTGCAAGGTGGGACTGACCTCGTGTAGCCTGAGAGGCGAGACTCAGGGCGAAAAAAACACATTTAAAACAAGCAATTACTGGAAAAGTAAGTCGATGAATTTATATTGAACGATCATGTATTAAGTAAAATATTCAATATGTTATGAAAATGGGCCAATTTCACAAAGAAACAATGATTTCAATTTTTTGCATCCATATGAAAAAGATGTTTTTTTGGGGTCTAATTGTTGCAATTTGTTGGCAGTTAACAGATGACAAACAGATGGGAACAATCTGAATCTACAAGGGTCAAAAGGTCGTTTTCAGTACACTTATTTTGTCTTCTCTAAAATCTAAATTCAATATACAGTAATATGGTGACAAGATCATGTTTAGGCCTTTCTTATAAAGACTCAAACTATTATTAAAATTGTTTGATTAAATTTTGATTAGTCAACAAATCAATGGTTCAATCCTTTGTTCTGCTCTACAGGTCAAGTAAGTGCTTAAAAGAAAACTACACCATAGGGTTACATCATTCATTTTACACTGGTATATAATGATAGTTGCTTTTTTTATTTTATTTTTTACTGCTTGTACATCCCGTGTTGTTTGAAATGTCAGGATGATTTTCACAAAAACTGAAAGAATAAAAAAACTCACCGTGATCTGTTATTTAACCTTTGCTGAACCTGCCGAGCCAGCTGAGATTAAATTCTTACTCGTGATGACGAGAGATGACAAGAGGCAAAAAAAAAAAAAAACGGAGCTCTAACTGAAAGAAGGAAATCATACTGGGTCATGGACGTAGAGGGTTTTGTTTATCTGAGAAGTGCTGTGTATGTTTAGGATACAGGATGATGTGACGTTTGAGTATGAAGCTGCCAGCATCAGTCTGTCTCCTGCTTGATGTGTGTTAGTGGAGGTCAGGACTTGTGTTTAAGATGGACCGCGAGCTTGAGTGATTAGAGCCCTTATGATTAAAAATTTACAACTCAGCTCGCCGCAAGAGGACTGAGGGAATGTCTGTGTGTGCTTGCATTTATTTTGTAACATGTGGATGTGAGCCAGAGTGAGATTAACTCTCCATGTCTAACAAACCTCATAGTTTGACCCGGCTAGCCGGCAAACACACACACACACACACACACACAGAAAATACATTCACACACTACCACTTGATCGCCTGCTGGGTTAATGCAGGCCATGAGCTGCTCCTCTTGCAGAATTACACAAACACACAAACAAACATTGAACTCGGGCCAACATTCAGCCACTTTGATGCATTAGGGCAAAGGTGCATTTTCACCTCTTGGTGGTTCGGCAACAAATTGATCTTGATGTTTGTGCGCGCTCATGCGTGCACACAGAACAGCGATAGTTCAGATTAGAGGTGAGATTAGAGGTGATTCATATATATCAAGAGTTTGCAAAGCTTTGTAAGACCCCCCCAAGCCCTCTCCTGTCGCTTATTATGAAGTCAATTTGATCCTCTGAAGAGCTGAAATAAGAGACATCAGCAAGTCGTGATCTTAAGTCTTAACGAGGCTTCAGAAGTGTTGTCAGATGATGAAATATGTATTCTGAATCGCCCTTTATCCCTTGTCAAAAATCGGAAAGGATTTTATTGTGTTTGCGTGTCAGCCTCGGTTCCGTCTGTGGCCGATGGTGCCAGATGAAGACAGATGGACGGGGGGTTTTGTCGGGGTCTGGGCCCGGCTCCAGGGAGCTGCCCTTGGTGCGAACGTTTTCATCTACTTGTAGATGTCGGACAGACAGAATCCAGCAGACCCTGGATTAAAATGGTCTGGGCTGAAAGATTATGGGAGCAAAGGCCTGTATCTGGATGTCCCTGCTGTTTGGCATGATAACACAAAATGCATTTTTTATTATTAATACTCAGAGCGTCGCAGTTCAGTTGTTGCTGCTGCGGTCGGTTCATCAGTCAGACTTAAGTCATAGCTAATACGCTATGATTGTACGATTCGATGCAAAACAATATGACACAATGAGTACAATTTGCTTTATTGTCCCTGTAATGAAAATTGAACCAATTTGGATAGTATAAGCTTGATTAACTTGGTTGATTTAGAGGTTATACGTTGATGATATGCTGTTATCTCGCCTGGAAATACAACGCAGTGGACTTCAAGGGAATTCAGTAAATTGAAGTGATAGTGGCTAGAGAACTAACAAAGACTATTTAGAGCTTGTGAAATAATATTCCTAACAAGTATGGACAGATGTTTTTTATTTTGTTGATTTTGTGGAATATATGGGGCCTGTTGGGACCCATTCTTGGTCAACGCCTTAAAAGACCTTTTGAAAGGGGTCACAACGTTATTGAGACAGATAAATGATGGTCTTCAGTAGCAGATCAACATGTACGCAGGGTTCTCAGAGAGCTTAGCAGAAATTTAGGAAACGACATCAACAAGGCAAAAGGAAGGAAGATCATCGGTATTACTAAAAGCTATTGAACTGACCTTGTTTTGAGGAAATCACAACGTTGAGCACTTATATATGCCAGTCAACTTACGATTATCCCACTCATTCTGATTGAGATAATCGGATTAAAGTTTTTACATAACTGTTCCTATAATGAGATTATTGCCTGAAATGGGATTAGAGTGAAATATTGGCATGCACACATACCAGATGCCATGATTTTTAAACTGGTTCCAATTCTTTCAATGATTGGATTCTTTTTCTCA